CATACCCGGGGGGCTTCGCTCTCATCTCGGGCAGTTGTCTCCAAGCCCGATCCCCTGTAGCCGCTCACCCCTGTAGGCCCCCCACACCTGCCTCCTTAGCGCGGACGCATCCCCACGGCCCGGGGCACAAAGGACGTGCCACCGCCTGGCTCAGCGCGCTCCGCCGGCCCCTGCGCCCAGCTCTCAGCTCGGCGCAGCCTCCGCGCTTATAAAGGACCACAGGGATACTGTGCGCATGCGCAGCCCCAGGCCTCCAGCTGAGCAGGGGAAGGGGGGCTGCCCTGCCTGAGATTCCCTCCACCATTGCCCATCAGCACAGACCCCAGGCAGGCTGCACCTGACTCTGCCCTGACCCCACAAATCCCTTTACCCTCCCAGGAACCACATTAAATGTCCCCAGCATGCCCTATGAGGCTGCCTGCCCCAATTTACAGGTAAGGAAACTGAGTCTCAGGGAGGTGAGGTTGCCAAGGTCACACAGGAGGGAAGGGCAGAATGGGAATTAGAACCCTGGGCAGCTTGATTCTCCAAAGCTCCAAGGACTGTTACCCATTCCTAGAGAGGAAATGGGTTCAGAATGTAAAGGCCTCTGGGTTATACAATTGCCAAGAGTCATAGAGAGGGCCTGCTAGACAGCTCACCTGGTAAAGAAGCTTGCTGCCAAGCCTGGTGACCTGCGTTTGATCCCTGGGACCCCCAGAATGGAAGGAGAAAACCAATTCCTAAAAGTTGTCCCCTGACCTCCACACATGCACTGTGGCGTGCACGCGCAAGCCAACACAGATACAGTAAATAAATGTAGTAAGGAATTTTTTAAAAAGAGTCAGGGACAGAGCCTGGATGACACATTGCAGAACTGCTCCTAGAAGTCCCAGCTGTGTTGTACCATTCATTCATTCATTCATTCATTCAGTCAGTCAGTCAGTCAGTCACTCACCCATTCATTCACCTTGTCCAATCAGCACTTAATTGGGGACATCACAGACCATGTGTTAGGGCTACTTCTACTTCAGGTAGGAGTCTAAGCACAAGCTTGCCTAGTGTCCTTGATCTTTAAAAGCCTAGATCTTAGAGGCTGGGGAAGAGGGTCTGCAGTAGAGCTCCTGCCCCAAATCCCCCAGTGAGGGGCTGGGGGCATGGCTCAGGGGTAGAGCCCTTGCCTAGAATCCCCCAGTGAGGGGCTAGGGTGGGGTGCCTACTGCTGGGTCAGCAGTAGAGTGCCTACTTGGCATGTTTAAGGCCCTGGATTCCATCCTCAGCACCAGAATGAAGTATAAGAACTGTCCTGGAGCTGGAGAGATGGCTCAGTGGCTAGGAGCATGTATTGCTCTTTCAGAGGACCAGGGTTTGGTTCCTAGCACCCACATAGGGCAGCTCACAACAACCTGTAACTCCAGTTCCTGGGGATCCTCTGGTCTCTGCAAGCACTTGTATTTAAGTGCACATACCCGTACAGACACACAAAAATGAAATACATTTCTAAAATTGTTATTTCTTTATTTTTTGGTCTTTTTGAGACAGGGTCTGTAGTGGGGCTGGTCTTGAACTCACAGAGATCTGCCTGCCTCTCCCTCCTGAGTGCTGGGATTAGAGGTGAGCACCACACCTGGCCAAAAATTTATTTTTATTTTTAATTATGTGTGTGTGTGTGTGGCTTTGTCTATGTGCACATGAGTGTCTGAGGAAACCAGAGGCATCTAATCCCTAAGGAGCTGGAGTTACAGGCGTTTCTGTGTGTCTGTGTGTCTGTGTATTAGTATGTGCAGGTGAGTGCAGGTGTCCATGGAGGCCAGAAGAGGGTGTTGGATTTCTTAGAGCTGAAACTACAGGTGGTTGTGAGCTACTCAACAGGGGGGCTGGGAGCCAAACACAGGTCCTTTGCAAGAGCAGTACATGCTCTTAACCACTGAGCTATCTCTCCAGCCCCTTGTTTCGTGCTTTTGACACCAGGTCTCACTTAGCCCAGGCTAGTTTCCAATTCACTATGTAACTGAGGATGGTCTTGATTTGATCCTCCAGCTCCCTAATGCTAGGATGATTCACACTCCACCAGACCCAGCAGGGCAGCCTTCTCCTGCTACTCATTTTAGAGTTTGTTGGGGAAACTGAGGCTCAGGGAGATGAGATGTCCTGTCCAAGTTTCCACAACCTTGGTCTGTGGCCCCAGAACCAAGTGGACCCTCCTGGTCCTCCTACCAACCCCCATTCTGGGCTGGTGCCAAGGCTGAACTGAAAGGGGCTGGCCTGGGGCCCGGGTGTGCTGTTGCTGGGGGCTTGAGTGAGGGAACTTTGCCTGGGAATCCACAGGGCTCAAAGAACTATTTATAGTCCCAATCTGGAATCCAGAGAGTCCTCACTCCCAGCCTGGAGGACCTCCTCTGTCCCCTGCATTCTGGGCCTGGGGCTCCTGCCATGCAGGAGGAGGTGGGGAAGGGGCAAGTGGCCCAGAAGCCTATAGATTGCTGGAGCCTCCTAGACAGCCCCCAGTCTCAGGGGCAGTGCATCCCAAAACCTCGAAATACACCCAGAATCAGAGTGGCATGTGAACAGGTACATGCAGTGCCCCCAACTACTCCTGATACATAGTCATACCCACAGCACGGTTAGCAGCATACAAGTATACCTGGCTATGGACAGACAAATTACACTTAAGCCAGTTGCACCCAGTACACAGGAGCCTGAGGCAGAAGGATGGCAGTTTCCAGGTCAGCCTACACAGCAAGATTCCATCTCAAATAAAACAAAACCAGGGCTGGTGAGAGATGTCTTGCTGCCAGGCCTGAAACCCAAGTTTAATTCCCAGGACCCACATGGTAGAAGGAGAGAATCAACTCCCAAAAGTTTTTTCCGCACGTGTACTGTGGTACCCACCTGCTCCTTACCCACACAAAATAAATTTTGAAAATGTAAGACAAAACAGGTTGGTACTACAGTTGGTAGAGTGCTTATAGTGCAGTTGGTGGAGTGCTTGTAGCTCAGTTGCTAGAGCATTTGCCTAGCATGTATGCATGCAGCCCTGAGTTCTACATAAGGCCAGTACTACATAGACCAGGTATGGTGGCACACACCTGTCATCCCACCACTGGGGAGGTGGAGGCAGGAGAACCAGGAGTTCAAGGCTATTCTCAGCTACATAGTGAGTTAGGGGCTAGCCTTCTTACATGAGACTGTCTCATAAAAATAGAAAGAGAGGGAGCTCTAGTCTCTCCAGTGCCCTCCCTGCCTCGGGCCCTGGAGAGGGTGGGAAGGAGGAAGTGCTTAGTCTTCCTTCCTCTGGAGGATGAATGGACCACGTTGACGGCCGGCTGGAAACCCAGAGCCACTAATTCCCTCATGAACAGGAGGCTCTTTCATGCTGAGGCGCCAGTGGGGTGAGGAGGCGGGAAGAGGGTAGGGAGTGGGGGCCAGGCAGCCTTGTGCCAAGGCTGGGAGTGATATGGGGGGAGGGGCTGGGATTGTGTGTAGCCTTCTTGGGCATTGTGGCCCAGTCACTGTGTCCTGAGCTACAGAGGAGGTGACATCAGACAACAGTGGGCAGTGTAATGAGTTCTTGCCTGGAGACAGACGGTGTCCACAAATTTCCATTTCTCAAGTGTCAGTCATTGTTATAGGTGTCTACCCAAAGAGCTTGCCTTTCACAGACAGAGAGCTGAGCTCAGAGAGGTCAAGATGTTGGTCTGAGGTCACCCAACCAAGTTTTTAACTAGACTTGGTTCCTCCAGGGCCTGTGACCTTCCTCACTTCAGCTGAGGGTACAAACTCCCGGCCTCAACCTGGAGACCAGCGAAGCTGGCTCTAGATGGTAAGGAACCCATAAGTGAAGTCCTGGCACACAGGGCACTGGCAGGGGAGCCCTTCCATGGTGACCCAGTTTCCCTGCCAGTCCTCCCTTCCTGGAGTGGGCTTGGGGAGATACTAGGAGGATGCCAGGGAGCTCCTTCTGGCCCTGGAAGAAAGAGGATGGATCAGAGACCATTCAACCAAATGGCTGCTTGGTCTTGAGAATCTCCATTCAGGAAGGTGGCTGGGGTCCCACTCTCTCGGCAAAGCTGCTCCAGCCCAGCAGGACATGGCTCCATAGGTCTCATTCAAATCCATGGTCTGTCACCAGTTCTATGCCTTTGCTGCTTCTGGTCTCCTTCCCCACTATGCATGTTCCCTCCCAGAAAACCCCCTTCCTTCTGGGAGATTCCCTGCTCCCTGTGTTTTCTCTCATGGCTCAGCTCTGAACCCACCAGGTTGGGAGTGTCTGTGTCTGGTTTTGTTTTGTTCCCCTTGGGAATCATTGGGGATTAGGCTTTTCGCTACTCTAGCCTCATTTACTACAGAGCAGGGAACTAACAGGTAGCAACAGGGGGATAGGAGCTGTCTAGCCAATTAGCAACCGTGTCTTTAGCCTGGTATGTAAGACTTTGGCAACTCCTGTTCATCCTACAACACCTGCCAAACATGCCCACTCCTTGAACAAGTGTTCCAGAATGTCCTAGACAGCATTTGCTGAGATGACTGATTTACTAATTATATTTGTTATTTCATTCAGTTCTAGTAATGGAACCAGGGCCTTGCATTTTCTGAGCAAGCTTCTATCACTGAGCCCTTTAGAAAAATTTACCATGGGCTGGAGAGATGGCTCAGTGGTTAAAAGCACTGGCTGTTCAGCGCAGAGGAGCCAGGTTCAATTCCCAGCACTCCATGGTGGCTAACAACCGGCTGTAACTCCAGTTCCAGGGGATCTGCTGCTGTCTTCTGACCCTGAGGGCATTGCATGACATGGGTGCACTTACTCATACACAGGCAATTCACTCATACACATAAAATAGAAATAATAAATAAAATATTTAAAAATATCCTGTGGGGCAAGATGACTTGCCAATAAGCCTGACTACCTGAGTTCAATCTTGGGGCTCATAAGGTAGGAGAGAACCAGTTCTTGCAAGTTGTACTCTGACCTCAACATACAAATAAATGTAATAAAAAAATAAATAAAACCAAGTGTGGTGGTGAATGCCTTTAATTCCAGCACTAGGAAAGCGGAGAGGCAGGTGGATCTATGTGATTTCGAAGCCAGTATGGTGTACATTGTGAAAATTATTTTGAAACAGGTCTTGCTAAATTGCCCAGGTTGGCCTGAAACGCGCAATCCTCCGGAGGGACTGCTGTTCAGAGGCTGAATTTGGATCCAAGCCGGACGGGCACATGGAGCTGGTGGTGACTGCTGACATCACCAGTGTCAAGGCCTCTTTTAACTCATCCTCATTCAGAGGTAGGAAAGGGATTCGTCAGCCGTCCCTCCACAGGAAGACAATTACAGGAAATCCACGGGAACATTCTATAACGGAGAGCACAGTGCTCGGCGGCGCCGCTTGCATCCTTCCTCCAGCTCCGCCGAAACTGAAACCCCGAGTCGCCAGCCCTTTAAAGGGGAAGGAGCTCCACGAGCCCCGCCCCGGCACGGCGGCTGGGCGGAGCCAGGGTTGAAGGCGCGTGCGCGGCGAGCTCGCAGTTCCGGGTCTCGAAGCTGTGGACGGCTGCCGGAGCTGCCTCCCTCTCCCAGCTCGGGGTCGCCGGGGCTGTTCTGTACGTGGCCGGGAGGATCTGCTGCTGGACCTAGTGGGGAGTGGCGGCCAGGGTTCGAACTCGTGCTCAGCATCGGAGAGGCCTCGCGGAACTGAGATGACCCAGTCTTTGGTTTGTCCAGAGACGGTGACTAGGTGCGACTCCGGGAATCAGGGTTTAGGGGCGGGCCGGTTGTGCTCGGCGCTGACTGCGGGTGAGGTTGGTTGGGGGCGGGGCCGTGGTTGGTGGGGGCGGTCCCAGCCGGCTGAGGCCGCCGTAGCTATGCGTGGTTGCCAGTTTGGAGACCTCTAGCCCTGCGTCTCCCGTAGGGTGAGTTCCGTGCTTAACCGAAACAGCCGACAATTTGGAAAGAAGCATCTTTTTGACCAGGATGAGGAGACCTGCTGGAACTCGGACCAGGCGAGGTGCCCCCAACTCCCCTGAGCCCTTTGTGAAGCAGATTCAGGTGTCCAAAGTGCCTTCAGAACTTTGAACTTTAGGGAGCTCCAGCTCAGCCCAGTTGGGGTAACCTAAAAAGGATGGTGCTCACACCTTCCCTCTGTTGGCTGTGGGACCTGCTAACAGGTGACTGAAAGAATTGAAACTGGATGTAGTGGTGCGTGCCTTTCATCCCAGCACTGGGGAAATGAGGAGCAGAGGTGGGTGATCTATGTGACATACAGGTCAGCCTGGTCTACATGGTAAGACCCTCTCCAAAAAAGAGAAAAGAAAAATAAGAAGCCAGGCATAGTAGGGCAAACAAAGCAGTTACCATGTACCTCAATTTACCCATCTGTTTCCAGGGCCCCTCCCAGTGGGTGACACTCGAATTTCCCCAGTGTGTCCAGATCTCCCAGCTGCAGGTGCAGTTCCAGGGTGGCTTCTCCAGTCGACACGGCTTTCTCGAAGGTACTGGAAGACCCCAGAAGGCCCTGGGAGGTGGGGGTTAAAGAAGTCCCTTGGCCTCTCAGCTTGCTCTTTGCTGCAGGTTCACTGGGTGGGGAAGCTCTCAGCAAGATTGTAGACTTCTACCCCAAGGACAGCAACGCCCTTCAGATATCCTGCCTGGCTGGGATCTTTAGGTCTGCTGGGTTCCAGGACACTGGGAAGGCTGAGTGGGGAGGATCTAGAGTTCCTGGCCAGCATGGCCACATAGCCAGGAGCTGTTTCAAAAGAAAAGAGCTTTGGCCCTCCTAAACCGATCATGGGTCCTGCATGGGTCTTTAGCACTCTGGGTGTGGAGGAGGCAAGAGGATGAGTTCAGGGTCATCCTTAGCTTTAAGCCCCAAGCCAGCCTAGGCTACATAAGATCCCATCTCAAAACAACAAAGGGACTGGGGAGTGCACATCTGTCATCTTAGCACTTGAGAAGTGGAAATCAGGAGTTCAAGGTCATCCTCAGCTTCACAAGTGAGTTCAAGGCCAACCTGGGCTATGTAAGACCCTGTCTTGGAAAAAAAAAAAAAAAATCAAAGGTGGGACTGGAGAGATGGCTCAGTAGTTAAGAGCACTGGCTGCTCTTGTAGAGGACCCAGGTTCAGTTCCCAGAACCCACCTGGCAGCTAACAACCATCATAGCTCCAGTTCCAGGGGATCTGTCACCCTCTTCTGGCCCTCTAAGGGCTTTGCAGGCATGTGGTGCGCCTGCATACAAACAAGGAAAAACACTTATGCACACACAAAAACTTTTTTTTTTTTTTTTTTTTAAAAAAAAAGAGGTGGCTGTTGATTTCTTGCTTGGTGTGAGAGGCACTGAGAGCCTGCCAGTCTGCTGGTCATGGGGCCCAAGGGTGGTGTCTGACCTGGAATGGGAGGGGACTGGTAGTCTGGACACAGAGTCACTGTTCCTTGACTGGGTGTGCTCACACCTTCTCCCTGCCTGATGTGAAGGTGGACCAACTGAAGGTGACATTTGAAGATACAACTGACTTTTTTGGCCGAGTGGTCATCTACCACCTTCGAGTGCTGGGTGAGAAGGCATGAGAGCTCTCTGTGGCCACTTCCTCCAGGGAGCCCTTCAAGTTCTGCACAGGTTTATTGGTTCCTGCTGGGGAGGTTTCCCTCCCATCACCTGCCCTGGAGCTGCATTTGAAGCCAATTCTGAGTCGGCCGGTTTGTTCCCTGAGTGCCTGAGTCCCCAGTAGTCTTCACTCGGGGTCTGCAGGCCCCAGGGTGCTCTGGAAGAGTTTCAGGATGTGGGTTTCCATCACTTGTTGCACTGTGGGAGGTGTGGAGAGGAACAGGCTGTGAGCAGGAGAGGAGGCCGGGAAGGCTGCTCAGCCTCAGCCAAGTAAAGCCTGAGTAGGAGTGGAGGCTGGGGATGCCACTGGCCCCAGAGAGGCTTCACAGACAAATGAATGCCTCCATGCTCTCACTGGGTTCCCATGAGAACAGGTTTTAAAGCAAAGCCGGCTGGCCTCTCTTTGCTTCTTCCATTCCCCACAGCTTGCCCTTGTTTTCCACAAGTAAAGCAATAACCAGACCCCAGGCACACTGGCCACCTGATCTTAACTCTCCCAGCCTCCAGAAATCATGAACCCAAATAAATCTTATTTCTTTATAAACCACTTGGTCTCGGGTATTGTTATAGCTATAGAAACAATCTGAGGTCTGGGGCTACGGCTTACTGGAGTGCTGGCACAACATATAGGAAGCCCTGGATTTCAGCCTCAGCACTACATGGAAGATGGTGGTTGAGGGATTAAGATCCACATCCATCCTGGGGCTGGGGCCTCTGTATCTCTGAATGCTTGTGTGTCTGCCATAGTGGTTTCTGTCCCTGTTGGGTGCTGGCCAGCCTACCCCAGCACAAGAGGGCCAAGAGTCAGGATGAGAAGGTGCCAAGCAAGTGGTGCAGTGGTGCCATGTGGGTACTGCTGGGAGTGCCCACTCCAGACATCTGGCACCCCTCTGTGACCACCCCATCTGTAACCTGTCAGCCTCCCCTCCTCTTGGACCCACCTTTGCGGTACCCCAGGGCCACAGCAAGATCCATCGGCGTGTAGCCAGAGTCGGCCTCTGTGGTGAGGTCAGCGCCCCGGGCTGCAAAGCAGAGTGTACACTGGACATGGGGCTGCATTCAAGAGCCTGGGGCCCAGGCTGGGACTTGGAGACCGGAGGGCTGGGAGTGTCCCCTCCTGGTACAGCCACAGGTCTGCCCACTGCCCACGTGAACCTAGATGGGGGCAGGGTGTCTACAAGCCTCAGTTTTCCCCCAAAGAAGAGTCCTCGGGACACGGAGGGTGTGGAGGCTCAAGTTAGTTGGCCAGACCTTACACAAAGGCACTCATGCCACCCTGCCAGATCAGGTCCCCAAATATGCCCTCCCCACCCCAGGATTCCTAGAGGGCCCCTTGGGCCGCTACTCACCCAGCAAAGCCTCCACACACTTCACATGGTTCCCACGCACAGCGTAGAGCAGTGGTGTCCCTCCGTTCTGTGGATGAGGGCAGGTGGGAACCCAGTTACCTTTACCCAGTTCTCACAGTGTCTTGCCCTCTGGCGTCCATGTCAGTCCACTTCTTGGCGCAGCTTTTCCCACCTCTGTGGAAAAGCCCTTTCTAGGAAGCCCTCCCTCTGTCCTCAGCTGCCTCAGGGCTCTTACAGCTGCCTGTGCATCTGCCATCACAGTCCCCTCTTCCCATGTCTGTCTCCCAAGCCCTGGGCTCTATCAGGGATGAGATCAGTTCTGTCTTGTGCTCCCAGCACCTGAGACAGGCCTGGCACCTTTAGGTGCTCCACCTGTGTCTGATGGACCCAGGGTGGTGGCATCTCACCCAGTCGTAGATGTTAATATCCACGTCTCGTTCTAGCAGCAGCCCTACGATGTCCGTGTAGCCCCCCATGCTGGCCAGTGACAGTGCACTCTCCCGCTCCTTAGCCAAGATGTGGGGGTCAGCACCCTGGGGGAAGCACAACAGGCCATGATGGGAGGAGTGGTGGAGTCCCCCAGAACCCCGGGCAGGGCATCCCATCTCAAAGGCAGTGGCTACAGAGGCCAACACCCCAGCGTGTCTTCATGACGCACCCAGTCAAGCAGGAAGCGGACAGTCTCGATTTCTCCAAAGGCAGAGGCCCAGATGAGGGGGGTGAAGCCTCGCTCATCCGGTTTGTTGATAAGGTTGTCACCTGACAGATAGGAGGGACATGGATGGAGTGGGGACCTGCAGCCTACCAGCTTTCATGGGGTAACAATGGGGGGCAAGGCTCAGGGTCAGTTGAAGGGGACACACAGATGTATACACACAAGCCACACTCACACGCGTGTGGGTGCAAGCACGCACGGGCACTCACAGGTCACATGAGCACCATGAGCTGGCAAACAGTGCCACCAACCAAACAGGCATGTGACACGCACCTTTCCGAAGGTGATCCTTCAGCTGGCTGAGTTCCCCCTGTGCTGCGAGCTGGTGGATGGATAGGGCTGGGGCCAGAGAGAGACATAGTCCTCACCTACCCCATCCCCTCACCATCCCTCAGTTTACCCTATTCAAAAATGGCTCTTCTTTTGGTTGTTTTTTAGAGACAAGATCTCATGTAGCCCAGGCTAGCCTCCAACTTGCTTTGTAGCTGAGATGACCTTGACCTTCTCATCCTCTTGCCTCCACCTCCAGCCTGAGTGCTGGGAAGACAGGTGTTGTGCTAGTATGCATAGTTTATGCAGAGCTGGGGATGGAACCCAGGGCTTTTGAATGCTCAGCAAGGACTCTACTAACTGGGCTACAAACTGAGCTATATCCTCCAATCCCTTGTTTTGTGTTTTTTGAGACATGTAGCCCAGGTCAGCTTCCAACTTGAAATGCTACTAAAGATGATCCTGAATGTCTGATCGTCCTGCCTCCACCTCTTCTCAGACCCTCCCCAGCTCAGGTCCTACTCACAGTCCAGGGTGGCTGGCAGAGCTGAGACCTCATTCCCACGCTGCCGGTTTGTGAGGGTTGTGGAGTGCTTCAGGAAGCTGCCTGCAGGGAGAGGAGGGGCCTCAGTTTCCCTGGGGGGATTTGAGACAGATGGTACAAGCACTGAGCCTCCAAAGACCACGCCCACGATGCAGCCACTCACTCTTCTTCCTGGGTCCCCAAGGCTCTGCCTGACCAATGTCCTGAGCAAAGAAGCCAGGGTCCCTATAGCTATGGACAGCATGAGACAGAGAAGTTGCGTAAAGCTAGTATGGAGATGTGCTCAAATGAAGCAAAAAGGAGGGAGGATGAGATGGCTCAGTGGGTAAAGGTGCTTGCTGCCAAGCCTGACAACTTGAATTGGATCCTCAGGAGCCATATGGTGGAAGGAGAGAACCGACTACAAATTGTCTTCTGACTTGTATGTACACAGACACATGCACCCAATACACGCTAATTACACACACTAATAATAAACTTTAAAAAATATTTATTTTTTGTCTTTTTGAGACAGGGTCTCCCTGTAGTCCCAGCTGTCCTGGACTCACTATGTAGACCAGGCTGGCCTCGAACTCACAGAGATCCACCTGCCTCTGCTTCCCAAGTGCTGGGATTAAAGGCATGCGCCACCACGCCCAGCCACAAAAAATATTTATTATTTTAATTTTATGTGTACGAGTATATTGTCTGCATGTGTGTAAGTGCACCCATGTCAGGCAATGCCCTTGGAGGTCAGAAGAAGGTGTTAGATCCCCTGGGCCTGGAGTTATAGACAATTGTTAGCCAGAAAATAAAACTTTACAAATGAAGTAAGGGGCTGGAGAGATGGCTCAGTGGTTAAGAACACTGGTTGTGTGAGTTCAAGGCCAGCCTGGTCTACATAGTGAGTTCCAGGCCAGCTAGGGCTACAGGGAGACCCTGTCTCAAAAAGACCAAAAAAAAACCCAAAACAAAACAAACAAACCACACTGATTGTTCTTGCAGAAGACTGGGGTTCGAATCCCAGCACCCACATGGCCACTAACAACTGTCCATAACTCCAGATCCAGGGGATCTCACAGCCTCTTCTGTCCTCCTCAGGCATTGCACAACACGGGTGCACTTACCTACATGCAGGCAATACATGCATACACATAAAATAAAAAATCATATTTTTTTTAAAATGAAGTAAAACCAGGCATGGTGGTGCATGTCTTTAATCCCAGCACTCAGGAGGCAAAGCCAAATAGATCTCTGTGAGTTTGAGGCCAGTCTGGTCTACATAGAGTTCCAGGCCAGCCTGGCCTACAGACAGGCTGTGTCTCAAAAAGAAAAAAAAGAAAAAAAAAAAGTACAGAGGAGGTAGGCCTGGTAGTGCAGGCCCATAATTCTAGCTACTTGGGAGGCTGGGGCAGGTAGATCACCATTTCAAGACCACCCTGGCCTACACGGTGAATTCCAGAACAACAGAGACTACTAATGAGACCTATCCCAAACAAACAAACAAGAGAAAATATATACACATGCATAGCAAGAAGAGGAGGAGGAGGAGGAGGCAGCAGCGGTGGCAGGAGATACAGCTCAGTGGTATCAGTGGTAGAAGACATGCTTAACATGCCTGGGGTCCTGGGTTGGATCCCTAAAACCAAACCAAACCAAACCAAACCAAACAACAAAAAGAAGATCCAAGAGAAAGGGGGTGGAGAGATGGTACAGTGCTTAAGAACACTAGCTGCTCTTGCAGAGGACCTGGGCTCAGTTCCCAGCACCCACATAGCAGCTAACAACCATCTGTAATTTTAGTTCCAGAAGATCTGACAGCATCTTCTGACCCCCGCAGGCATTGCACCTGATGCACTCACATACATGCAGGTGATACACTCATACACATAAAATTTTTAAAAATTTAATAAAAAAGAAAAATAAATCTTTAAAATAAATAAGTACAAGAGGTAAAAAGGCCATAGAATAAGCGAGGCCTAGGGGGCACACGCCCATAATTCCAGGAGGTCAGCCTGGGCTACATAGTGAGATACTGTTTCAAAAAGAAAAAAAAAGGAAAAACGGTGGAGGGCGTTGGGGGAAACTTGAAAGAAGAAAGGACAGGCAGCCAGTCCATTTCAGACAAGATGGTCAGAGCAGGTGGCTTTCAGGTGCCACCCACCCAGATCTCAACACTGGGAAGAAGGAGAAGACACAGCTCCTAGTATGACACCAAATTAGACACTGCAAAGAAAACCTGGGCTCTAGAAGTTCCTGGAACTCACTATGTAGACCAAGCTAGCCTCAATCTCACAGAGATGCCTGCCTCTGCCTCCAAGTGCTAGGATTAAAGTGTGTACTGCCATGCCCAGCCTGCCTTGTGTTTTGAGACAGGTTCTCTCACTAAGACTTGAGGCTGACCATTTAGGCTAGGTTGACTGGCCAGCAAGCCTCGGGCGCCCCCCTCTCTGCCTCCCCAGTTCTGGGACTGCAAGTGTGTTCTGCCATGCTGGCTTTTTTCCTGGGTGCTTGGGGTTGAACCTATACCCTTCTGCTTGTGTGGCAAGCACTTTACTGACCCTACCATTTCCCCAGGCAAATGTTATATGTATTTTACCACACTGAAAAAAAAAAAAACAACTTTTTTTGTTTTGTTTTTGAGACAGAGTCTGTAGCCCCAGCTGGCCTGCAGACCAGGCTGACCTCAAACTCAGAGATTCACCTGCCTCTGCTTCCCATATGCCAGATTAAAGGAATACACATAAGAAACGGACAAAGAGCCGGGCATGGTGGCGCACGCCTTTAATCCCAGTACTCGGGAGGCAGGCGTATCTTTGTGAGTTTGAGGCCAGCCAGCCTAATCTACATAGTGAGTTCCAGGACAGCTGGGGCTAAAGGGAGACCCTGTCTCAAAAAGACAAAAAAAAAAGAAACAGAAACAAACAAGGATCTAGGAGATGGCTCTACGGGTAAGAGTGTTTGCTCTATAAGTATAAGAACCTGAGTCTGAATTCCCAGCTGTGCATGGCTGCCAGTGCCTGTAACTCCAGCACTGGGGGGCAGAGACAGCCAGATCCTGGAAGCTAAATGTGAGTTTCTGGTTCAGTGAGAGACCCTGTCTCAAGGCAATAAGGCAGAGACTGATGGAGGAATACAATGATGACCTACTCTGAACTATTCCATATATGCATGTAACCACACAGTCAGGTATATGCACCATACACCCCCCCCCACACACACACACACAGACATGCATGCGCACGTAACCTCCGGACTGAGACAGGTGGGTCCCTAGTGCTCACTGGCCAGCAGGGGTAGCTGATCTCAGAGCTCTAGGTTCAATGTCTCACAAAAAAATAAGGTAGAGGGACAGCAATTTGGCTCAGCCAATAAAGGTGTTTGCTGCCAAGTCTGGCGATCTGAGTTCAATCCCCAGGACCCACAAGGTGGAAGGAGAGAACTGGCTCCTGAAAGTTGTGTTCTGTCTTCACACACATACACACACAGAAATAAATACTCCAGAGCAGACTCTCACCCTGCAGTGAGGAGGTGTTGGCATCTGCTTCAGGGTTCATGGCATCTGGGGTGCAGGGGAACAGGCTGAGGACCACAGTGTCTGAGCCATCAGTGGATTCCTCTCCAGGGTCCTCTGGATCCTCCAGTTCAGGAGCAGGGGGCTGTTGGCTCATGAGGTTCTCTGCAGACTTAGTGGGCTCCATGGGGGGAACTAGAGGGAAGAGATGACAGTAATTATCACAGTCTCTTGGGTTGCAAAATGGATCGGTGGGTAAAGGCACTTGCCACCAAGCCTAATGACCTGAGTTCGAGTCCCAGAACCTGCAAGGTGGAGGGAGAGACCTGACTTCCACAAGTTGTCCTCTGACTTTAACACTGACATATGTCCCCCTCCCACAAAATAAATAAATAAATAATTAATAAATAAGCTCTTATTAAGGGGCTGGGGCTTGGTTGGTAGACTGTGTGCCTAGCATACACAAAGGCCAGTGTTCGATCCCTAGCACTGTATAAAACTGGGAATGGTAATGTACACCTGTCATCCCAGCACTCAGGAGGTGGAGTCAGGAAGATCAAGAATTCAGGGTCATCCTCCACAACACTGTTGGTACATTAGGCTTGTCTCAAAAAATTTTATAAATATACATATGTAATTTAGGGACTGGAGAGATTGCTCAGTGGTTAGGAGCACTGACTGCTCTTGCAGAGGACCCAGGTTCGATTCCCAGCACCCACAAGGCGGCATCTGTAACTCCAGTTCCAGGGAATCAGACACCTTCTTCTGACCTCCCCGGGAATTGCATGACACAGGTATACTTACACACATGCAGGCAATACACATAAAAATAAAATAAAATATTAAATATATATGTAATTTAAAAGCTCTTATTAAGTAGAAACTGTCTGAATACCCAACCTAGCCCTTGGAGGCTTGGTAAACTGAGACTTGGAATAACCACCAGTGCTGGAAAATCAAAACACAGTCCAAGGCACTTGCAGGGTACCACTTTAAAGCCAGGGTTCTGGACAGTGATCTAGGTTCGAATCCCGCCACGTACACGCTGTGAGACCCCCCTGGGCCCGTGACTTGGCTGTGCCTGTTTCCTCCTTAATAAGGTGAAGAAATGAGATCTTAGCGAGGTTAAGTCGGAAAGCAGTATAGTCAGAACTTTTCAGTGTCGCTTGCGGTTAACTTAGGTCGGGGTCCTAAGTAACCGGGGTCAATATAAGGCTCAAAAAAGATGTGACCCGGGAGATCCACTCACCTCCCTCCAGCCTCCTCCGTCCCTCTACGCTGCAAGACCCTGTCCCCTAAAACTTGGGAGACCAATTCACAAACTTTACTGGTCCAGTGAATCTAGTTAGAAGCAGGTTGTAGACGGTTGCCTCAGCGTTCTAGCTTCCTTGGTCCGGACAGAGAGTAACTTGATACACAACCGCTTCCCCAACCTCAAGAACTCCCGGACTGCGCCTGCGCACCCCGCCCTCCAAACGTACCAAAGGAACCAAGCTGTACAGGCCCTTTAAGACAGGAGAGATGGGCGTGGCTTCTGATAAGTACAGTCGCGCATGCGCACACTCTCACCGTAAACCCCAGGTGGGAGATTAGAAAACCTGGAGGATTTCACGGCGAGTGTGTATAGGTTCATCTCGGGTCCGCCCCTTTTTTCCCCCCTAATCAGATCTACTTACCGACGCGTGAGCGGCTCTTTCTCAAGGCTGAGGGCGGAGACACGTAGGCGGGAGTTCTGGAATTTAAAGGGACCGCCAATGCGCCTGCTCAACAATTTCCTTGCCTTGGTCTCAGATTAAGAACATGTGCAGGATTTGGTGGCAGTAGGCAGTCCTTAACTAGTTATCCCTCCCGGAGCTTCAGGAAATCGCTGTCCTCTCCACACAAGCCCTAAGCCTCTCTCCTTCCCCTCCGTCTTCCGTCTGAGAAACCGGCGCGTAGAGGGCAGCCCACCCGAAACTGGAACTGGAATCCAGCGGCGTATGGTTTCCGCCCGGAGGCTTAGGCAGAAGTCTCAGTCTCCTCACTTCCGGTTTCGGTTTTCACACTGGGCCGGCCGCAGTCGCTATGGAGGAACCAGAGATGCAGCTGAAGGGGAAGAAAGGTGTTGGGGGCCCCGGGAGGGTTGGAGGGACCGGGGACTAACCGGAAAGTGTCCTGGAGTAGCCGGTGCGGGAAGGCGCGCGACAGGGCCAGTCGTCATTGCCCCCTCGGCCTGCAGGGCTCGGCGGACTTGGGATGCCTTGTCTCCTGGTGCGATGTGACAACCATGTAGCCATGATAGGGGCGGGCAAAACGATGACGTCCTGTCTTTCTTCCCTTCTTTTTTCAGACGGGGTCTTTCTGTAGTCCCCTATGGACTACAGTGGCCTGGAACTGCCAATGTAGACCAGGCTAGCCTCGATCTCACAGAGATCCTCCTACCTCTGCCTCCCGAGTGCTGAGAGTAAAGGCTGCGCCACCACGCTCGTCCTAATGTGTTTTTCATCCCGTGAACATGTAAATGAATGGCCAGGCCTGGTGCTACTCAAGAGGCTCAGGTCGCGGTGTTACAAGTTGAAGACCAGCCTGAACTACATAGACTGCTCAAGAAAAAGAAGGGCTGGGGCTGTAGCTCAGTTGTGAGCACTTTGCCCAGCATGTCCAAGGGTCTGGGTTTGGTCACTAACACTACAAAATGAATAAAGACCAGATAAGTATGTTCTTTTTTTCTGGTGGGAGGCCTGGATGGTAAACGAGGTGGGTCTTGTGTCATCTGTGCCTTTGGACTTGGCGCCCCCTGCTGCCTGTTGGCCGGAGGGGTGTCAGAACCCCTACAAGTTCTGGTCTGGCGCAGGCAAGGGGTGACCTGGCTGTGCAGTAGGGCCAGCAGGATCCCTGATGGATGGAGTAGGAAGGCTGGAGACTTGGCTAGCCTAGGAAAGCCCGTAGTTGAGAGCGGGTCTGGGATGCTGGTTAATGTGCAGCTGACTTGTGGGAGAAAACATGCCTTGGAGAGAGAAAGGAGCAGGTTTTCTGCACAGGAGCTCTGGTGAGATCTGCAGAGGACAGCCTCAGCTGACACGCTGCTATGGCAGGGCGCATAGTGTTGAGGCGTACCTTCCTCAGCTGACACGCTGCTATGGGAGGGCGCATAGTGTTGAGGCGTACCTTCCTCAGCTGACACGCTGCTATGGCAGGGCGCATAGTGTTGAGGCGTACCTTCCTCAGCTGACACGCTGCTATGGCAGGGCGCATAGTGTTGAGGCGTACCTTCCTCAGCTGACACGCTGCTATGGCAGGGCGCATAGTGTTGAGGTATACCTTCCTCAATACAGCTAGTTCCAACACAGTGAGGGACACAGGCTTCCACATCGGTCAGGTGGAGGGCACTCGGGGATGTAAATCTCAGGCACCTGTAGGTTGTATGCACAGCCTATGATCAGCTGGGGCTGTGGGGCATGCCTGTCATCCTAGCACTGGGAAAGCAGAGGCAGGAGGATTGCCACAGTCACAAGCCAGCTTAGTCTACATAATGAGTTCCAGGAAAGCGAGGGCACATGGTCTCAGGTGTGGTGTTGGAATGGAGGTCCGGGGATCTGGGCAGCAGTAGTTCTGTCCATCAGGTTCTCCTGAAAGTGGAGTTTGGTGAGGAAAGTGTGCAGTGTGCCCCTGAATGAGGCCCTGCTGTGACTGTCTCTAACTGACCCTGGGCATGCAGGTGATAGAGCTACTTGGGGGTGGCCTGGAGGCTCCTCTCCATTCTGGTTGAGCTAGGAAGTTAAGTGATCAAGAGTCTTAATTTGGGCTGGGACTGGACCTAGAGGGTAGAGTGCTTGCCTATCATGCCCAAAGCCCTGGATTCTATCCCTAGCATCACATAAACTAGACATGGTGCTACACACTTGTACACTCGAAACACTTGAGCGGTAGCAGCAGACAGTCAGAGTTCAAAGTCATCCTCAGCTATACAGCAAGCTAGAGGCTGGCCTGGAGCTACAAAATGCTATCTTTCACAAAAAGGTATAGGTCTTTAATCCTAGCACTCAGGAGGCAGAGGCAGGCAGGTCCCTATGAGTTCAAGACTAGCCTGGCCAAGACTAGGGAGTTCCAGGCCAGCTGGGGCTACAGGGAGACCCTGTCTCAAAAAAGACATCATCATAATTTAAAAAAATAAAAGAGAGGCTAGAGAGATGGCTTAGAAATTAAGAGTGGCTGGGGCTGGAGAGCTGGCTCAGTGGTTAAGAGCACTGACTGATCTTACAGATGACCAGGGTTCGATTCCCAGCACCCACATGGCGGCTACAAACTGTCCTTAACTCTAGTTCCAGGGAAATCCGAAGCCCTCTTCTGACGTCCATGGCATTGCACGACACGGGTGCACTCACATACATACAGGCAACACATTCATACACATAAAATAAAAATAAAATATTTTTTTAAAAAAAATGAAAAGTGGGTACTGCTCTTGCAGAGGCCTGGAGTTTGATTCCTAGCACCCACCTTGAGTGGCTCACAGTCATCTGTAACTCCAGCTTCAGGGTATTCCACGTCTTCTGTAGGTACCTGTACTCTTGTGCACATATCTACACACAGACACACATATCATTAAAAATATGTGAATGTGGGGCTGGAGAGATGGCTCAGTGGTTAAGAACACTGGCTGTTCTGGCAGAAGACCGGGTTTCGAATCCCATCACCCACATGGCAGCTAACAACGGTCTGTAACTCCAGTTCCAGGGGATCCGACAGCCTCTTCTGTCCTCCTCGGGCATTGCACGACATGGGTGCACTTACCTACATGCAGGCAATACGTGCTTACACATAAAATAAAAATAAAATATTTTTAAAAATATACATGAATGCTGAGCATGATGGTGCATGCCTTTAATCCTGGACTTGGGGAAGCAGAGGCAGGTGGATCACAGTTTGAAGCCAGCTTGGTCATGTAGTGAGTTTCAGGCCAACTGGGGCTAAGTATTGAGACCCTCTCAAAAGACAAAACCAAACCCAAAAAATATGAGAGTCTAATACTTGTTGCTTTGTCTTCATCCCTCTACATTGAACCTAGTCACAGACAAGTTCACCGAGAGTGTCTATGTCCTGGCCAATGAGCCTTCAGTGGCCCTGTACCGGCTGCAGGAACATGTGCGCCGCTCATTGCCAGAGCTGGCCCAACATAAGGTGAGCCCTGCCAGCTCTGCTGAGGACCTCCTCAGGGTCTACACCCTCACCCGTGGGCTTGTCTCTCTGGGGAGGGCCAGCCCCACCAAAGGAGGTATGTGGCAGCTAAGCCAGTTGGGTAGTGTGGAGGACAGATCTGGAACGGATGTGTTAAAGACCAGCAAGGTGTGGGAACATCCTGGGAAATACCAAGGGAGCTGGGGAACTGGGGTGTGGCTCAGTGGTAGAGGGTTGCCTGAGCATGCATCCCAACACTGCAAAGAAGAGTGAAAGCAAAGAGCTAGGAGGAGGTCTCTCAGGCTGGGTCTCCCCTCCTGACACTCCCCAACCCACAGGCCGACATGCAGCGGTGGGAGGAGCAGAGCCAGGGTGCCATCTACACTGTGGAGTATGCCTGCAGGTAAGACGCCTTATCACATCTGTCTCCAAGCAGAATGCTATGCATCCCAGGAGGTGAGCAACTCCTCCACTTACCCACTTCCTGTGCCTCAGCTGGGCAAAGTGCTTGCCACCAAAACTAACAGTCTGTTCAATCCCTGGAACCCACATGGTAGGAGGAGAGAGAACCCACTTCTGCAAGGTGTCCTCTGACCTACACACACAGACAGACAAACTATATAAATTTAATTTTAGAAAAAAAAAAGAATTAAAAAAAGTGAGGTGCAGGGCTACCGATGTGACTCAGTTGTAAGAGTGCCTGCCTAGCACACACTAAACTCTGCATTATGTTGCATTCATTCCTATAATCCCAAAACTCAGGAGGTAGAAGTAGCAGGATCAGGAATTCAGGGTCATTAACTACATAGTGACTTTGAGGCCAGCTGAGGCAACATGAGACCCTGTCTCAAAAAGGAGTGGGGTGAGGCCAGGCATGGTAGCACATGCCTTTAATCCTGGCACTCAGGAGGCAGAGGCAGGCGGATCTCTGAGTTCAAAGCCAGCCTGGTCTACATAGTTCCAGGCTGGCTGGGGTTACTGGAAGACCCTGTCTCAAAAACAAACAAAAAGAGGAGTGGGATGGAGTTGGGTGTTAGAGGTGACTCGGGGGTTAAGAACACATACTGCTCTTACAGAGGCCCTGAGTTTGGTTCCCAGCACCCATGTCCATCAGTGCAAAACCACCAGTAACTCCAGCTCCAAGGGAATCTGATGCCTCTGGCTTCCTTGGTCACCTGCATGCTTATGCACATACCCACACACAGACACACAACATACTCATAAAGAAATCTTCTGGGGGAGATAGGCCAATCTCTGTGAATTTGAGGCCAGCTTGGTCTACATAAGAGTTCCAGGCCAGCCAGGGCAACATGGTCAAAACAAAAAAAGAGGGATTGTTAGGGGGAATGACCAGGCTGAGTGACACACACCTTTAATCCCAGCACTTAGGTTCTGTGAGTTCAAAGCCTACATAATGTATTCTAGGCTAGCCAGGACTGCATAGTAACATTCTCTTTCCAAAAAAGAAGAGAGGGGCTGGAGAGATGGCTCAGTGGTGAAGAGCATTGATTATTTTTGCAGAGGACCCAGGTTTGAATCCCAGCACCTACATAACCATTCATAACCCCAGTTCCAGGGGATTGGACACCCTCTTCTGGCCTCTGCAGGCATTGCATGACACAGGTGGACTTACACTCAGGCAATACACTCATACACATTAAAAATGAAAATAATGGCTGGGCGTGGTGGCACACGCCTGTAGTCCCAGTACTTGGGAGGCAGAGGCAGGTGGATCTCTGCAAGTTCAAGGCCAGCCTGGTCTACATAATGAGTTGCAGAACAGCTCGGGCTGCAGGGAGACCCTGTCTCAAAAAGA